AGTGTCTTCTAAGTATAATACTATGTTTTGTGCCTCTTGGGCCATGTAAAAAAAAAAAAAAAAAATCTGATTCTTGTAGCGCACAAAGAAGTTAAAGGTGGTCCAATGTTGTGACATGTCAACTCTTGAGGTTGCTATGGTTAGGACCTGCAGCTTCTCCTGCACAGATTTTCCCCAGGGGCCCTGACAGGTCCCGTATATCATCGCGGGATATGCCCTCCCGGAGCACAGTGGCGTGTCTGTGCCGAGTGATAAGGGAAGTGACTTGGGAATCTTTGTTTGCGAGACACTGATAAGCGCAGAGATCTCATCAGTTCTTCTAAGTTTCTGATAAAATAAAGATTTTCATCCAGTTTTATGAATGAATTGGAAGAGTTGTTAGATTTTTGTTGCCTTTAGACTGGGTGGATAAAAGTCAAACCTTTTAAAGCTGTACACACAGTAAGTGTACATTAATGCACTATATGTAAACGAGCTATGACAAAAACTGAGCCAACTCACAATAATTTGGCTTGTTTTTTTGCTCCTAAAGTATGAACCATTTGAAGATAATATAGGAAATTATTTGTTAAATTCTACCCTAACCTACTGAGTCTTGTCCTCAAAGACTTTTTTCCATATTTAATACTGCAACAGTTTAAAATTAGTAATTTGAAAGTTGCTAGTAGTTGCTAGTGAGTTGCTCCTAAATGTAATCTCAATCATGAATACACAAATAGATTTTATTTAAAAATATTTTTTATTAATGCCACTTCCCAGGAGCAGATGTCCCTGCAAATTCCCTCTAAAGGTTAGACCGTATAATGTTTCTTTTCCCCCCCACAAAGCTTGTAAAGATGGCCAAGAGCTAGATCTCAGACTCTGCAGGTCTCGGTTAGCGTGTTACGTTAAGGCTCATGACAGATTTAGAAAGACTACAAACAGTATGGCTGTTTGTAGTCTTATAGTCAGGAGAAAGCCTCTTATCTCTGAAGGAAAACATGGCAGCATGGCTTAGCTTCGCCACAGGACCTTGGCACCTTGCGGTCATTGAGTCAAACACGAACTCCTCTGTTTACCGAAGTATTTCAGAGTCAAACGTGAGGTCATCTGTCCAACAGCTAACGCTTGGCCGAAAATGGGTCAAGTAAAAGGACAATGATCTCAAACACAGCAGCAAATGTGCAACAGAATGACTGCAAAAGGAAAGAATCACAAGTTCAGATTTGAACTTGATTGAAACTCTGTGGTTGCTGAAACGATCTTAAGAGAGCTGTGCAAAACCCAATGAACCAAAGCAACGCTCTAAAGAAGCTACTTCATTTTTAATCTACTGCTTCTTTCATTTTGGGTTTGTTTTTTCTTATATAAATAGGGACACGGTGTAATACGTGCACAGAGTCCTTGCTTTTCACATGTATTGACCTGCATGTGACACTTTCCTTGTAAAAAGTTGCTGTAAACCTGTAATCTGTATTAAACACAATAAAGAGAATTAATCATATTTAAAAGCATACCTTAGATGTCAGAGTCTCCTGGAACATTTTGCTGTAAAAAGAAAAAAAAAGTAAATAAAAAAGAAAACACAAAAAAGTTTGCTGAGAGAAAAAAAATAATGGAAAAGTTCTATACAAACAAGATGAATATGCAACAAAATCAAAGTCCTAAACCAAACAAAACCCATGTGCATAATCTCCAAAGCAGGGAAAGAAGGACTTTCATTACTTTTGTTTTGACATGGGAGTAAAGTTTGTTTGAGATGGTTAAACATGGTTTGGTTTGCTTCATGCTAATTAAAAATCAACATGAAACAGTTCAAGGGTTAGGGGCCAGTGCGGTCACATGGAGAAAAGTTTAGCACAAACTTTCATGGCCTTAATGAAACGGGCAGTTTAGAGCTTCACAGCTCATAAACCCACAGACTGCTTGGAATGTCTTCACCTGCAAAATATCCACGAGTACCTGGAACACGACCTGAGGGCAAAACTCTAAAAGTAGCAAGATGAAGATTGACAGAGTCAGGTGGGCTAGTCCTCCTCACATTTGTACCCCGCAGAAACAAAGCTTCTTGTTATCTATCACAGCTGCAAAGTCATTTTTAGTGTCATTCTTTAATATTTTATGAGGACTTGGGAGGGTTGAAATGTCACGGGAAATGTGAAAAATGTAAAATATTTATGTCGTACACTGAAAATCACATAGCAGGAGTCAACCGTTTAATCGTTGCTCTACATCAGTGCAAATTCCTTAAAGCCCAACAACAGCAACGTCGTGCAAATATCTTCATTTGGTTAGTGACGATTAAAAACATCTAAAATATTGGACTTTCCACATTGTTATGTGCATATCCCAACTTACATTGGGGAGGAAGTGGAGAACAAGAACAGTCAATTTAAAGACTGACATGTAGAGTCAGTTTTACAAAATGAAGCATCTTTCTTGGCAGGAGAGCGTGGGAAGAGCATGTAATTGTGCTGCTAAACAGTGCATAAGAGAGCAACCTAAAAACTTTAACGAGTGGTCTAAAATCAAAGCAAAATAATCATGATAGCAATATTTACAAAATAATTAGCAATATCCAACAGATTATTTAAAAGGAGGAACTGTGCTTTCCAAGTACTTACATTTACATATGATAAAAATCAAAACACTTAGAGTGCTTATTAAGATTTAATGAGTTTTCTTCCCCATAAATCAAGCATAAAATGTTTTGTAAATATTTTAAAAACCACGCTGATTGTATTTTTCTTGCAGACTTGTTCTACCTTGCCTTATGATCCATTGCTACATTTCCTTTCATATCACTAATGGTGATACCATCTACAAGTATGTGCGCCGCATCTCCTGCCTACTCCTGTCTGTGCATCTTTGTGCGTGAGATAAAAGCAAAATGGAAAACCTGCGTATTTACAGTCTTCTGTGGCATTATCAGTCGGCATTCCTGGATACAAGAGGTTACGTTAATGAAAACCTACATGAGAATATGCTGCTCATCTCTCACATGAAAGCTATTTTAAGAAAGAGTGTTATAATGAATTGAGAGACTTGAAGAAGCTTCGTGTGAATCACAGTAAACACAGAGACAACACTCGGTTGGCAGCCTGTGATTCTTGTACGATTCTCTTCAAAATATAAAGTGACACAACAACACGCAGGACGAAATGCTATGTTGCTATGGAACACGGCCGTGCCGTCATCAGACAATACCATCCAAGATAACACTGGAATACAATTTTACTTGATATATTAAAAAAAAAAAAGAAGGGGGGCCCAATAAAGAACTGCTGCGCCCGCTAAAAGTGGAAACAACAAACTCGTTTCACCACTTCAGTCATAAATACAATGTCAAGCACAAGCAGGGTACAAAAACACAGAAGGAGGAGATGCTAGCAGCTGACGATGTGCAAACTAAATGTTACAAAAAATGACTCAAGAAGAGCAAACAGTGGCTGGAAGTCCTTGATGCAGTTACATGAAGGTACAGGATTAGGCAGGTTTAGGAAACTCAACTTAATAAAATATGTCTCTATTTAAATTTTATTATGTAACAATATTTTGCAGGTTTCAGAAGATTTCAAAGGTTATATTACATTATATTATTATTTCATGGTAAAGCTCAATAGTAATGCACTTATCTTACACTTTAACTTAAAACTTCCAACAAAAACACATTACTATTACTAATATGCTATAATGCTCCGTCTTGTAGCCCCTTATATCAATCGACTGACACAGTGTGTCATCAATGAAAGCAGCTCACTGGAAAAGAAGGACAGCAAATGCCCTTCATTTTGTTTGCGTCAATAAATGCTGCCTGCAAGCTACAATCACCAATAAAACACTGTTCAGTATTTAATTAATATCATCAGAAATATCATTATTGCACATTTCCTTGAAATATCACACATGGTTTTGAGGCTGTATCAAGGAAGCCTTACTCACTATAGCAGCGGTCCCCAACCCCCGGGCCTCGGACCGGTACCGGTCCGTGAGTCGTTTGGTACCGGGCCGCGAGAGTTGAGGCTCAGGTGTGAAATGTATAGTTTTCAGGGTTTTTATCGGTTTTCAGCGTTATTTTGTTATCGTTTTTATCGTTAACTCTGTTTTCCTGGGTCTTTTCACGTGTGTTATGAATAAATCTTCTTTTTTTCGGTACCGGTACTGGTTTTATTTTGTTGTATTTATCCGCGACACCTTAAAGGCCGGTCCATGAAAATATTGTCGGGCATAAACCGGTCCGTGGCGCAAAAAAGGTTGGGGACTGCTGTGCTATAGAACACTGAAGAGTGCATTAAGGGCAAGACTTTGCATGTAAAGCAGGAGGTAACTGAAAAGCACCTGAAAATCTGATATCCTGATAGCTGTAATATAACTCTAGGTCACACGGCATAATTTTTTCTTGTTTGCTTGCCATTTTAGAGTAGCTACAAACAAATCTGATGATTTATCGTGCAACGTTTAAACAAGATTTAAAGCGGGTGGACACTGGACAACGAATAAAGCAGAAGAGCAAATGATAGGATCTGTAAACACTCTACACTATAATTTCGCCAACCTGAAGACTTGAGCAGACTTGGCCTAACAACAAAACAAATAAAATCTCCAGCTTCACTTGCTGGTGACCAGACTTGTTGCTACAACAGCAACTCTGCGTAACAGCCTTGTTTTGCAGCAATCAGTCACCAAAAGTTGTTTTAGTAGCAAACTGCTGCATCTTATGTACCATTAGTGAGCATAGCAACAGAATCAACAGCGTCTCCCTCCACCCTGTTTTCCATCTGTATTCAAACAGCACCGTGTCACGGCTTGCATGATCACCAGACGTTTGGATTAAATGGTTAATTTCCTCGTACGCCACATAATCAAGTCGTCGCTGACATTTCGTTCTAAATTTTCCAGCCAGCCTATCTGTCTGACACATTCCTTCCAGTGTCTAAATTAAGAACCAAATTCTCAGTTCACATAACAACACACTGTGACTGGCGGACCATCTCGAGAAGGTGATGCGATGCTGCTGCCCTGAATTGGCAAATGGTTATGAGCAGTCAAAGGAGGCAAACAGAATGTAGTTAAGAGATATAGACTGTGTGTTTGTGAGTGACGACGAGATGAGAAACTAATGGAGAAAGTGACTCATAAAGACTGAAAGGCGAGGGAACAGGAACGAAGGGAAGCAGTATTTATCTAACAAGAAAACATCATGGTTAGAACGACATTTTTAAAAGCAGTAACCCACAGACGTGACACTGGATCACACACCTCTTGGGGAAGCTGAACTTCACAGCATTCTGGATGAAGCCGTAGCAGCAAGGACTAATAACAAAGGCGGCTCGGGCCTGGATGCAATGCTCCATTACCATATCTGTTGCAACGCCACATGCATGAAGGGCGACCTGCATTAGAACAGAAAAAGAAAGAAAACACAAAAAAGTGTTACTTTCACCAACAAAATGATCTTGAAACCCTCAGATTTCCAACAGCAAAAACCAAAACTGAGAGCATGCACTCAATTCCATTGATTACTTCATAATGGCCACTGCTATTAAATAAATCTATGCTCTCAAAGGTGCAGACGCCGGGAGTAGCAGCAAACAAAATATATCAGTGCGTTTAGAGTGCAGGCACGGATGCATCAGGATTCCTATTGACAGGGTAAACTGTGCGTGGTGATGAACACCTAGCTATGCATTAGTAATGGTGTGGTTATATATTGGATTGCAGAATTGTACTAAGAGACCCAATATCCATCATTCCTGGCCCTGTCCATCTGCAAAAATGCATTATGATTTCTCAAGGACAACGAGTTTAATATCCAGACGTGACATAACTTCCTCTCATATGTACAGTGACAAACCACATGCCATGTTAATGGCCCAAATAAAATCCTTTTTAAACAGCCTGATGTCCCAATAGCTCCTGAACTCTCTGGAATGAACCCCATTCGACTCAAGCAGCGAGCTCCAAAGTCTATTTGTGTTTTCCAAGAAGTTGTCACTTGGCGTCTGTGAGTCTGAATTAACTGCATGTTGCCTTGACAGCAGTGCCACAAAGCAGAAGGTCAGAGCTGATCAGGACAGAATTGAGCCAGAACTGTTGGCACCACCACACACAAAGAGCAGAACATACAGACGCTCTGAGCCAAACCTCCACCCACCCATAAGGTCAGTGAAGGTTTTGAACAGAGGGTATATTTCTTACAGCGGCTTTACGTTTTTCTAGAAACTGAACTTTTGCGTGTTTGATTAAAAAAAGATTCACGCCCATAAAGATCTGTATCGATTTAAACGTGAACCCATTAAATGAGACTCTGCGATTTAAAAGAATAACTTCAATTACGTCCATTACCTTGTATCCATTTGACAGCTAATCTTCCATTTTATTCATGCCGTCAGGGAAAAAGCTTTATGCTTTTCTTAACAGCATGTTTTAGACTGATGATTAGGAGGAAGGGCTGCTATCAGAAATTACACGATGTTACACCTCCTCACATCTAAGGCAAAAATAATTACCAAAATAACACTATCACTCATTCCTAGCTTCTTAATGCTGTACATTAGTCATGCTGTACATTAGTCATGCTGTAGTAAATCCTAATTACATTTTATAACCTTTAGCCTCCATTTACCGCAAACACAAAGCCAATCAATTAAATAAAAAACACACAACTGGAATGAAACACATTGTGATATGTCTTCGTAGCTAATGCTGTATTTACAAGTTCTGATGACACAGTCATCTCTGCTTTATAACTGTGGTATTGACAAAGCATGGACCCAACTTAACATGTTCACATTCTGAGTGCAGCTGATTAGAAATGCATAATGAAAGGTGAAAATGAACGCGAGGCCAATTTAAATCTCACAGTCCTACCGAATTACATGCATATCCTGCTGAGCTTTGCCTCAAGACACAGTCTGGAAGAAGAAACCCTAAATTAATGCGCACAAGTAAAACTATGTTCATACTGAGCTATCATTTCTGGAGAGAGAAAGCTGTTTCTGGCTGCATTATTCTCTCAACAATCGCATCACAGGAATAACGAGGTTTCATTATTCACTCTTATTCCAGTAATTGTATCCCTCTCCAGGTCTATCTGGGCCTGAGACAGAGCAAGTTCCTGCAATACAGCTAATTAATGCTTAATCAACATCATACGCATTTGCAAAATTGTGCTGTAAGCCTGTGCAATAGTTTTGGGAACTTTTTCTCAATACGGTGCAGTTTTAAATGTTCAGGTTTGTCTGTTTCACTAATTTTATTACATGTGGACAAATGAATGCTTAGATGTGTCGACCAACCTATATTAAGTATGATTACACCGAACCAAAGGGTTGTTTTCCTCTCAAAGGTGGATGTAATGATGCCTTTTACCTGAGGTGATCAAACTCAATCTTAACTCACTCTTTTGAAAACAACCAAGACTATAAGGAGAGTAGAAAATAGTCCTAATACACCATTAGTATTAGAGCTGCACCAGATAAAGACACTTGGCACTTAATCAATACTGATTTTTTACATGAAGCTCAAAGTAAGACCAGCTAGTGCATTTTTCTACATGCAAACATAGAGGCAAATGAAAGAATCAACTGCAAACAATCAGACTCTTTAGCAGAACCAATAACGGACTTGCATCCAATAAAATTAAAACCCGCTTCAAGCTCCACAACTTTTCATGCTTCTATAGTCTGTAGACTGAAGAACGTCTGACACGTCATACAGAGGTTGGTTTAAGTTTAACACCGAGGCCATAAAGTGAGCAGACACTGACTAACATCAGGGACACCTCAACTTAATTAGCCTGATTAAGTGAGTGTGCCTAAAAATGGGACCATGTATTATACATAGCAGGATTAAAACTGATGTGATGTGTGGCTCCAACAGGTAGTAATTGCTTTGTTATACAGGAAGAAGCTTAGCCACAGTAAGAAACTCAAGCGGGGCAGAAAATTACAAGCATAAAAATTGTTCTATACATAAATATATTGTAAATTAATGCATCAGGTGAAATGAATCTGTGCGTGTGTGTGTGAGGAAAGATTCAGGCTACCCTGCAAAAGACACTCAGATATCGAGCAGATGAATAATCTGTGCTGTTTGTTTCTTGCCAAGTGGAACGAGTCTCAGTGGAGTGAGGATGCTGGAACAAAAGCTACTTCTAATTACAGGAGGTACGTATATTTTTCTATTTGTCTCGGTGGAAGTTAACGTGAGGCTACAAGAACAGCTGGTTTTTCTGACAGCTGTGACCACAGAGCTTTAACACAGAAGAGTAAGACAGATCACTGATCTAGCTCAGGCTGCTCAGAGAGCCTAAATAAGGCAAGAAGAAGAAAAGTTTTAACTTGTGTGCTTTTGTTCCGCTTGTTTGAAAAATTCAGACATCCAGTGCACGTCCACAGCTAAGTACCTATTTGCGCTAAATTGATAATTATCGCATCGAGAAGTCAAGAGCTCTGCAGATGGAGGTGGGTGTTAAACAAGACTGACAAGGGTTTTGGTGGAGAGTCCTCCTCAGTAATGATTTTTTTTGTTTGTTTTAACCCCATTTAGCATAAAAGTTTGACAGCCAGTTAAATATTTAGTTTTACTTAAAACATTTACTGTGTTTAATCTTTAGGCTTAAACACAAGTTGGAGAAATGCAGTGTCCATTAGGAATTCAAAAGGAGATATTGCCAGTCAAGATTCTTGTACAAGAAACATAAATTAAATTGAATTGGCAGAAAACACTTTCCAATGATTATACTTTCCCTTCCAAACATGATTCCTTCTGTGAAACTCAGAGTATAAAGCAAATGAAAAGCATTGTTGGATACAGAAAATGAGAACAAAGAAAGAAAAGCAAGAAATTACCAGTCCTCACTGAAGAGATCTCTAAACTCAAAGTCCTAAATTTCCTGGATGAAACTACCTTTTGGCTTCCTGATAATCAGGGAGCACCGACGTACCCTGTTCTGATTAAAAGCTCCACTTCAGGAAATGAACAGTTATTTTGGTTGCTCTAACAAAAATAACTTCAAGTTGACATTTTCAAGCTCAGTGAAGAGATGAATGACACATTTCTCAATGTGATGCGATAAAAATACAGCGATCAGACACCTTAAAGCGAAGATGTGATTGTGGCAAAGTGGAAAATCGCACTTTGTTTATGCAGCGTTAATCCTTCTTATGTTTCAATTTCAGTCCATCAGTAGAGAACTAATACACTCTCTTCCACAGAAAAGGTCAGGTCGTACCCCTGTCAATGTACAGTACTGTGCAAAAGTCTTGAGCTACCCCTCATTTCTCTATATTTAGATAGGAAAGTGGGAAGTGAGTGCAGCACATGTAAACATACATGGAAATACAGTAAAATAAGACAAAAAAGAGCATGCACAATTCATAAAAAGAGCGTCAGTATTTGGTATTACCATTTTAATTCTTCAACACAGTCTGAACTGTCTTAGTAGGCAGGTTTCTTCTAATTTCTTTAAATAATCTCTAATCGGGAGTAGTTCTCCAGGCTGAAGGACATTCAAAGCTCTTCTATGGATGTTGGCTCCCTTTTGTTCCATACCTCAGCCTTTCCTCCCTGTTTCCCTTCCTTGACCTCCACCCTTCCACTGAGACCATTTCTGATGAGCCTTTAGTCAATAGTAAATGGATGAACCTACAGGCCAGATGCATCTTTAAGGTCTTGTATCAGGTCAATGCTGCATTTTTTTCACCTCATTTTTTAAGGACATCGCTTTTAGATACTGTTCATCTGCTGCAGAGAGTTGTTTTTTTGGCCTTCCAGAAAAAAATACATTTCGCTGAAAATGATCAGATGCAAAGAGTGGACTAAAAATGAGTGAACAGCAGCCAGTGTCACCAAAAAAAGTTTGAAAGACCTTCAAAAATCCTGGGGAGTTATTGCTCAAGACCACTTTTAAAAAAATTACAAAAACGTCAGGCTCAGTGGAAGGAAAACATATTAACGTGAGGACTGGCTCAAGACTTTTGCACAGCACTGTACGTATGCACATTTTGTCAAAAAGCCAGATAACAACAATTGTTTTGATGCTACAGTTCTGCCAGTTATTGCATAATTAAAATGTTTGAATTTTTAATTCAGTCAAAGACAGAATATCACATTTCCTTTGCAGGATAGTGCAACAAGAGAAGCAGTGGGACAATTATCTGTGCACTGATTATTTATATTTCTATAAGAGAAAAGTTTCTATCCCAAATGTTATTACTGATTAAATTTTCCACATTTTTAAGATTCTCTTAGAAAGCTAAGCTGTGAGAAAAACAATTAGCTTTAAGAGGTATTTTGAAAAACCCCATTATGATTCATGATACTGTGATTGCAATATTACAGTAATTACAATTTACAATACAATAAAACTGCAGAACAGATAATATAATAATTGCTCTTAATGGGTTTAATTTCATGGCTCTGGTGTAATTTAGTGACTTTTACCATGACAAATAGATTTGACATCACATGCGCTTGCTGCATTTTTGGTTTCTGTTTTTCACACACTGGGAATCTGAAGTGTTAACCACACTGTCTACAGCAGCGGTCCCCAACCCCCGGGCCTCGGACCGGTACCGGTCCGTGAGTCGTTTGGTACCGGGCCGCAAGAGTTGAGGCTCAGGTGTGAAATGTATGGTTTTCAGGGTTTTTATTGGTTTTCAGCGTTATTTTGTTATCGTTTTTATCGTTAACTCGGTTTTCCTTGGTCTTTTCACGTGTGTTATGAATAAATCTTCTTTTTTTCGGCACCGGTACTGGTTTTATTTTGTTGTATTTATCCGCGACACATTAAAGGCCGGTCCGTGAAAATAATGTCGGGCATTAAAGGTTGGGGACCGCTGGTCTACAGTACTGTACTCTTTGGATCATCATGCAAATAAATGAAACAAATTGTGCAAAAACGATTTTTGTAACTTGCTATGCTCACCCCGATGTGAAAAGGTCCAGTGAAGTAATCCAGATTGGCCTGAATGAAGCCGATATTTTTCAGACCGAGCTCAGCACTGCGACTCTGAGCCCTGACCAAGGACTCTTCTTTGTTCTCTATGAGGATGACCTTAAGCAATGACAGAAAAATCCCCACTGTGAGTAGCTGCTTCTTTTTAAAAAAACCTGAAACAAGCACAAATGCATTTAAACTTATCCGTCTACATATCCTTAACAATATTAAAACACATCACAAATATTAAAAATTCTTAAACAAACCATATGCTTTGTGAAAAACTAAAGCATTTCATGGAGATGCATTTAATTATTAGGAATAATAACACATAATAACAGAGAGGGATGGGAATGGAGAAGCGGGAGGGGGTTCTTGTAAAGTACCCGCTTTTGCTTCTTTCAGTAGTTCAATTCCTCGGAATTGCTATTCTGCTTGTCTTAGAGGCTGGATCAGAGTCTCGCAGATGTTTAGCTAGCCTTTTCATTAAGGCAGGGAAGTGGTCCACTCAGGACCGGGTCTTTCCCTGCTGCATGTGCTAGTTGACTTCTTCTGGAGCTTCTGGAAAGCTTTGCACTCGTCAGGCCCATATGGGCTCCAAAGGCTCAGTAGCCCCCAGTGCACACAGCCAGCCCAGCGGTTTCCCAGCTGGGCAGCTGCCTGAGGGGTTAGCTGGTTGATTTTGTGTCTTTTGACGTGTCTTCCTCCCCTCCCCCCCATGGTGGATGGCTGCTCCTCCCTGAGCCTGGTCCTGCTGGAGTTTTTTCTTCACACTGTCATAAAGTGCTTGCTCATAAGGCGTTGTCTGATTGTTCGGGTTTTCTCTATTACTGTAGGATCTTTACCTTACAATATAAAGTGCCTTGAGGCAACTGTTGTTATTATTTGGCACTATATCATTAAAATGTAACTAAAATTGAGATTAATATTAACAGGAGAGTAAAATGACTGAGGCGAAATTAAATGAATGTCATCAAGCAGCGACTCGAGTGTGTCCTGTATTTCGATAGGATCATTTGCTGCATGTGATAAAATTAGCACCATCAAAACTGCATGTTGTTGTTGTTTTAATTATAATCCTAACGAGATCCTAATGATAATCGATAACAGAGAATCGATAAGGAGTCAAATTGATAAGTGATATTTATAATGGAATCGGAATCGATTCCCATCCCTAACATTTTTAAAAATGCCTGCCAAAAGTCACCACATACCACTCACGAACTCTACTTAACACGCAGCTAACACACAGAGACACACACACACACAACATCTTCATACATGTTACCTGGCAGTCTGGAAGTGTGTGAGCAAGAACAATCCCTACGTGGCCCTGAGAAAGAGCACAAAGAATAAAAATATGAAAACGCATGAAAAGAAAACAGCACACATCAAAGAGGGCATCGACAGAGTTATGATTAGTGTCTCCCTTTCCAGCCCTGACCCGTGCTGCGCCACTGCTCCAAGCCTGCATTTTCATTAGCACAATTACCAGTCTGCTTGTGCGCACCGGCCAGCAACAAAAGGCGTTTAAACAGGGAAGAAAAACGCGAGGGAGTGAGGGCTGGTTCCTTTCAGCTGGTCCCTAATGGAGCATCTATCGAATGCAGCCGTGGTCAGGTATAGTGATAAATATGCATGCTGAGCCGGACTGATGGATGAATACTCGTACCGTTCCGCTGCAGAAATCCACGATGGTGTATCCTGGCCTGGCGAGCTCTGTAACCATGGCAACCAAGTTATTCAGCTGTTGCATCTTCCTGACTGCACGGATATTTGACATTTTCCCTGCAAAAAAACCCAAAAACCAAAACACTCATTTCATTTGAGCATAAAGTGGGAAAAAATAGACTTTAACATCAAATTCATCCAAAACCCCCCAAAAAACAATTAAGGGATTTTTTTTGTTTTTACACTCCCGGAGACGACAGCTATCAAACATGAATTACATTTTGTGAGGATTAGAAAAGCCTTCTTTATAGCTTAGTTGATCTGAATCAACATTAGCCGTTTACAATAAGCACAAGACTTTCGAATAAAGCACATTTTTCATTATTGTAATGCCGTCTTTCTTTCTGCTGTCAGGGAACAAACGGGCTTTTCCCGCAACTGCTCAAATTATGATTTACAGCCAGCTATTTCAGGTAATGGTTATAGCACACAGATGAAAAGGCCTCCACTCTCTCATCAGCATGTTTCTGGCCAACAGGGACCGCGAACAATCTTTCAACATCATAAAAAGCGGACCTTCCAGCCAAATTCAAATGTCCCCTCGTTGGTGGCAGAGTTTTCTGCTGCTGTGCGAGCAGTGTGTACCTCATTAACTCAAAGCACACTGCAGTCTCCTGCATCTTCCGTTTTCCAGCACGTCACGTCGGCAGTGAGCCGTTGACACGCTGTGAGGACACCATCCCTGGTCCATAAATCTAGAGTGATGAGTGTTTCATTTACCCCTGAGTCACACCCTCATAATCAGACGACTGGTATAGCAAAATCAAAATACTCCTATACTCATATCTAGCTCTCGTTGCTTCATATACAATAACAGGAGAGGAGAAAAAATTCATTCTGCCACAAATGGGAAATTTCACAAAGGAGCCATTCAGCCTCTCGCACTGGCTGTTACTGAGCTGATCACAGTTATAGGGAGAGCACAAACCATAAGTGAATACAGAGAAACATCGGCAGGATACTGAGAAGACTGCTCTTCGTTTGGATGGGTAATTTACACAGCTACAGATATTTCTATATATGCACAGCTCAACTCCAAAAAGGCCTTAAAATAGAAGGTTTTTGATGGCTGTGAACAGAACTAGATTTTAATTTTAAATTAACATGCAAAGCATGATAAGATTTGATGGTGCAGGAATGGATGTCTGGGGCGTCACTAGGTATGCCAGGGATGCAAAAATGCAGTGCAGATTAGCTGTGTGTAATGTTTGATGTGAAAGACGCAGGACACGGGAGCTTTAAAACATCACCAGCTTATCTTTACTGATAAAGCTGATAAGACAAGCTTGGCCCATTTTGACAGACCTTTCCATTAATCCGACAGCCCGTGTGCTTCAAGTCTGAAGACGCACTTCACTTAGCACTTCACTTTCCCACAAAAGTCTTGATGGAAATCTCACCAGGTCAGACCGAGTACTGGTTTCAACATGATACGAGTGTGACTGCATACAGTCACGTTAACTCTCAGGCTCTCACCAGTTTACGACTGCGCATGCCTCTTGTGCATGTTTGTGAGGTGCTCAGCTCACTAGAGAATCCCCTTAACAGCAATAACATGAACACATTGGCATTTTATCTTATCGACTCTGTTTCTAATTTGCGATAAGATTAAGGCATTAACCTATGATGCCTCTCTCGCTACCTCTCTGAGCCTGTGAGGGACGTGCAAGGTGGCGTTTAGCACAGACACAGACAGACTTTTACCATGACCATGGCACGCCAAAGGTTTGGTTACAAAAAAAAAACAACAACAACAACATTTCAATATATTGGACAATTTCTTTTCAGACACACAAAATATGCTATATGTAGTTAAATGCTTGTTTACAGTATGCCTGACTCTGCTTGCACTGGTTGTTACTTTCCAAACATGTGTTTCCAGCAGGGATGCTGCAGAGTGGTGGCCAAACTATAAACTATGCAACAAAAACACCCATAACACATCGAGTCAAGGAGTTTATTGAACTCCTCTATATATACCAAAGTATTCTAGAGTCAAATGTGAGGACTGGCAGTCCTGAAATGCATCAATAATCCCACTCACAGCAGCAAATGGCTGAAAAAGAAAACAGTCAATGTCAAAAGTCAAAGTTTAGACCCCAATCTGACTGAAATGCTGTGGTGGGACCTTAAGAGAGCTGCACATAAACAAATGCCCACAAATCTCAATGTGCTGAAGCAACACTTTTAGACTCTCACACTCTGTGAGTCTGATAAAGTCTAAAAACCATTACTTCAAGTTATTGCTGCTAAAGATGGTTCTACAAGCCACTAAATCAAGGGGTGTACTTAATTTTTTAATCACTGCTTCTGCTTTTTTTTGGTTTGGTTTGTGTTTTATAAATAATCACAATGCATCTCGGGGTGTATTTACCACATTTTAAGGCTTTTTTTTTATTATATCCTTATATGTAACCCTGTAGAATAGATGTGGCGTGAATAAGGCACGGCGGGACCACGGAGCAACGTTCAGAGCCATCTTTATTTAATTCACGTCACACCACAACACCCCAAACCCCTGAGTCCCCGTGTTTTTAACTAGGCGGGCGTGATTAAGGATGCCGTGCAGGTGCGTCCGCCCTCCCTGCACGGCACCGCAAACCACGCCCCACCACAATAGAATAAACAGTGTATTTTTCATTTGACCTTTCTTCTACATATACATTTATTAATACATAATTCTAATTTAATCAAACATCTGATGTTTAATGACAACAAAAGGTTTCAGATTCTGATTTAAAGCTCTACCTCTGCTCTGTAACAACCATCTTATATTGAATACAGAGGCTTATTTATCAAACAGGAGGGTTGAGGTTGGGCCCTCTGCTTGAATGAATAGTTTCACAAGTACATCACGACATGATGCCAGGGTTGCTAGCTAAGGAATAATAACATAAAGGGTAGTGAATACAACCACTGTGCCCGAATAAAGCTTGGTCAAATAAAATATAGCAATTGTGACACAGAAGCCTCAAAGGTCTTATCCAAACCCTAACTTACAAAAGAAAACCAATCACAAACCATGTAATTCACACAAAGCTCACTCTGAGAAGGACCCATCTACAGAGATTTTTTTTTTCTTCTCCACTTCCCCCCCCCTCATGCATCCCAACTAGATGTTCTATCCCTCAGTCACTTTACTTATAAAGTGAAACCAGCTGGAGCAATCACAAGTATGACAGAAACTGCCTGCCACTACCACCTAGCTCAGCCCAAATGATCCACTTGCAAGCAGAGCTGTTTGACAGGTACACATTAACTCAACTCTCCTCTATCATTACTAACCCAACATTTCAGCCATTAGTTAGGCACTGTCCTTTACAGCATTATGCCAAGTAATTAGAAAACCATGCATAAATTATCTTTTATGGGTAGAAGACTGACAGCAAGGACTGAATCTATTCACCTGAAACAGGAAATTAGAGTTTAAAAAAAAGAAGCTTGGCGAAAACGCTGAAACATGGCTTGTTGTAGACAAACAATTGTCACATTTACAGATATTCATTAAGAATGTCATGTTTTCTTAAAACAAGAAGAAAAATACATCATAACTGATTGGGCATAACTTTACGGCCTGATATTGTGTTGGTCTACCTTTTGCTGCCAAAACAGTCCTGACCCATTGAGGCATGGACTCCACTAGACCGCTGAAGGCGTGCTGTAGTATCTGGCACCAAGATTTCAGACACAGCTTCCTTAAGTTCCCATGGATCAGACTTTTTTGCCCAGCGCATCCCACAGATGCTCAATTGGACTGAGATCTGGGGAAACTGGGGAACAAGTCAACACCTCGAACTTGTCAAACCATTCCTGAAACAAGAGGCCACAGCCTTCAAGGAATACTGGTCCCATGAAAGGGTGTACATGGCCCGCAACAATGCTCAGGTAGGTCCGTGTTAAAGTATCATCCACATGGATGGTAGGACCTAAGGTTTCCCAGCAGAACATTGCAAGCATCAAAACTGCCTCAGCTGGTTTGCCTTCTTCCTATAGTTCATTATGGTGCGGTCTTCCCTTGGTAAGCAATGCACACACACCCGGCCATCAACGTGAAATAAAAGACAACATGATTCATTTGACTAGGCCACCTCCTTCCATTGCTCTGTGGTTCAGTTCTGATGCTCGCCTACTCATTGTTGGTGCAACAAAGTGTGATGCGTTGTGTATTCTGACACTTTTCTATCAGAACCAGCATGAACCTTTTTGGCAGTTTGAGCTACGGCAGCTCGTCTTGACCACACAGGCCAGCGTTTGCTTCACTAACAGATGTCAAGGTGAAGTCATAAACAGTGTCATAATGCCTGATTGATGTCTAAAATCAGTATAATCGGGCAAAACATAAATGCAAGTTTAATTGATGGATTTATAATCACTCTGCTATCCATAGCTTACACACTGTATATATGCTTAAATACAATGTAAGACCAAAACAATAATTTTGGATTTTCTGCTTTACCTGCCTACATGGGAGAAAATATTTATTCATTGGTTATACTACACAACCACAATCCCAGTCTCCGGTTGAGAAACGTAATTACTTCTTTGTTCCGGATTATGTTTCCTTGACCTCTCAGTATATTCTGCTGACATGTTCCTTTGGTTGGAATCTGATGGGGTTCAGGTGTTTTCTTCTCAAAGAGTTTTGTGTTTAACCTCCTTCCGCAGGCGAATGCGAGCCGAAAGCAAGCACACTGATGTTGGCGGAGGTTATGAACAGGTGCACGGACGCCATCCCACCCAGATAACTCCAGGCACAAAGCCAGAGATGACAAACCTAGTAAGAGGCTTGGTATCACAGAAACAAGTTTTCTGTTTTCGTAGGAGGCTGACTCTGCTTTGACATCTCCCAAAGCTCAGAGAGGAGAAAACATGCTGTGGCAGCATCACTGGAGGGAGACACAGGATCCATTAATATGTGTGTCCTCTGCTGCTAAAAGGTGCCTAGCACTTCTGCTGCTGGCACTGAGCCCCGATCTACCGCCTTTTTCCCCTGATGCTGCAGAACTACCTTCCTTATCAGGGAGGTCCATCACACAGATTAGAATGTAAACACATTT